ATCAGACAAGTGAGCGGCATTATTAGACGTTGCCTATGCCATTCAGGCCACGCGTTGTTGGCAGTTCGGTTCTCTAACAGTAGTTGCTCGTGCGAATAACACCACCAGGACTTGGAGCGCTGGCTCCCAAGTCAAAATCGTCATGCAGTAGCAACTTTCTAACAAATATCAGCATTTTGACATGGAGAGACTTGACAATAGCAGTGAGGGCAATTACTGATCAGGGGGAAAAAAGCGTGTAAGGCAACAGAAATGGATGAGACAGCAAAAGATGAATGAAAATAGTTTAAGACACACATAGCACAGTCACCTTTATATACATACAATTGAGCATTAATCGATAACAACTAATTAATAAACCCGTATTGATATTCCATAAAGCTGCTGAAATTATATGGCATTGTGTCGGGTCGCAGAAGTATCTATGTTAGTTAAATAAAGCCAAAAATTAAACTGAAGTCGACTTTTTATGTACTAAATGTCAATTGGGATTTATAGAACTTGGAAAAGAAACTGACTTCTGCTCATCGGAATCCGGCTGAAACCAGCCTTTCTCAAGCTCTTTCCTTTTTACTGGATACTTCCCGCTGTGCTGCCGCTGGCAGCAACACATTATCATAACGGTAAACGTCGCAATCAACAAGACGCACATTGTTGACATGAACCAAGCAGTCCCGTGCAAATGACCTAGAACTTCTTGTTCCCAAAAATCTCAATGCCCTCGAACAATTAATTATCCGGCATGATGATAAAAGAAGGAAGTATAAGTGCACTGAATTTTTATGTAGCGAACCTTGAAATATTTTCGTAAGGAACCCATTGCTATGCGTCTTTATAATCACTGGTTCTGACAAAGTAAGTCGATTTCTTTCTTTAGCGACGGCCATGACATTATAAACTGTACCCTCTGAAAGGTTCCTTAGCAGCAGCTTTGTTTCTGGTAATTTAATTGTATCGCTCTTTGACCAGCCGTCGGTCCCTAAATTTCTAGTATTACCACTATGGAATTTCTTTCAGTCTTTCTAAATAAAATTTCTACACTCTAGTCACCTTCAGTCGAATAATTCACATAAAACGAGGAACCGGGCATTAGCCATCTGGTCCCGTTAGCCGGGTGCCAAATAACTTCAGCTTGATAAGGCGTCAAAACTCGAATATCAAAGATCGGTATATCTGGCTCTAAAATTTTGTCATATACATACGTCTAAATAATCAAAGTATTCGCTCTTAAAAACTCTCAGCGGTTCCTCTCACATCTTTCAGGATCAGAAGTAACTGGCAGAAGGGGATACCCTTTAGAGGCCATGTTCTCACACTGCGGATTACTTTTGGCCCCTCGCCTGCATTCGTCTCCGCCCAAACGGCGACCCTGTACGCAGTGTCTGGCTTTGCCTTCTCATACAGGTAGTTAAGCTGACGATTGACAACAAACGTCTCCTCAGTTAATCCGGTTTCTGAGTCTGAAAAGAGACCAAAAACTTTAACACCGCACACTGGTAACAAGGTGTAAAATGCAGGTATTTTTGAGTACCCTCAAATTCAATGAAATATCCACGAATAGCTCCATTCGGTTGTCTGCACTTTTCCCACGTGACGAAGAATGTACTGGACCCAACAGCCCTTACTCGCATATTGTGAACTTTTGACGGCACTAAAGCAAAATATAGTTTTAGTGATTTATCAAACGACACTACACTACTGTAATTGGAAATAAGGCCAAACAGCAAATAAAATGAATTTTTAAAGTTACATCCTTCTGGAGTCATGAAATGCAAAACTGATGGGTTGGGACTTTGATATCGTTTATTGATGGTCACAATTTGAGCGGTATAATTGCTAATTGGCTGCAATTTTGTCAGTGTCGCTGAATTCTTATCACTTGGAATAGTTAACTGAACATTTTCGAACGGGAAGTCATTAAGCCAATAGTTTATCTAAATTTTTGGTTCACTACTAGTGTTAAAA